TCTTGCTGCATAAACACATTGAGGGGAATTGATCAAACCTGGAACAGACATAATCTGGAGCTGTTGCTTAGGGCAAAGAATCAGCTTCTCTCTTCTGTTTGTGCAGTTAGGATTTGAAAATGAAAGAGAGAAGCTGATTGGTTGCCACGGGCAACTGCTCCAGATTTTGCCTGCTCCAGTTTTGATAAATTCCCCTCATTTGGTTCTGTCTGACGGGTGACACCAAGATCCCTATGCTTTTTGTCCACTTTTATCCTCAATCACCACCAAGCCCTCTCATAGGGGGAGTTCTGAACCCCCCCCCCGAAAAGCGTATCATACTACTTCTGCAGCACCCTCATCCTTTCTACATTTCCAACAACGTCATGAGCCTGAGCTGGCACGGCCGCTACTACAATTCTGCAACCAAGGAGGTAAAAAAAACAAAACATGAGAAAGGTTTTCAGGATTCCGGCTTCTTGGCAAGATCCGACGCGTTTTGAGGACGCGTTGGGGGAAAAAAATGTACAAATCACATCCAAATAAATTACTTAGACAACGACAAATCTGGCCAAAGTTGGCGGCGGCAGCAGCAGTGTGGCACTGAAGAGTTAATGCGAGACCGACCCACGTGCACTGGAGATCACAGATCTTATAAAGACAAATTCACGTTACAATAAAATAGATTAAAAAAGTATTTTTTTGGCCCAAAGGGCAAATAGTTCTTCCCAGAGTTCCTGGTGCTGAAATATTTGCTGCTGTAAGGAGCGGTAGTCCCGGCAGCTGTGAGAGACCGCCGATAGACTGGCCGTCATTGGCAGGGGGAAGGTGTTTAGGAGCAGGGGAAGGAATGTGATCCCTATCACCCGATGCCAAATGTGATCCGGTCTCCGGGGGGGTTCCGGGCTGAAAATGTTCCCCTGGATTCAAGTTCAGAGTTTCCGATCGAGTCAGTTGTGCGCGAGCGATAACCATAGTGAACGCTGAAGACCGTAGTGGCCCTGTAGATGACACGGGAGCAGTGCGGCTACTTCCAGGCAGCATTTGATTGGTTTGTTCTTAGAGGACAAGTCCGCCTCTCCGGCTCCTCCGCTTTCCTCTAGAGAGGCGATAATCCCTCTCCGGGGCCTCGGACGCAGGCTTTGGGTGCGTGCCGATGGCAAAACGAAGGAAGAGAGGAAACGATGCCGCCTCTCCCTAAAAGACCGGAATCTTGTCTCTCCGAACCTCATCCAGATCGTCGTCCAGGGTGAGCAGGACCTGGAGATGGAAGCACACGGCACAACCTTTTAAAACTGTCATGGCCATGGAAGCCCGGGCTTCAGATTTAGTAGCGTTGGCGGGATCCAAGTAACCTGAAGATAAACTCAATGACAATCCTGGTCTGTTATAGTCAGTAATTCTAATACTGACACCTAGGCATATACCATATATAGCCGGTGTGATCGGGGCCGCTGCAAGGATTTTTGCCTACACATTGTTATAATTTTTTTTCTAATTATTTGTTGATTTATTTATTTTTAATATTACTATCGTTTTACTTTTTATCATTTTAATTATTATTTTTTTAATTTATTTTTTAATAAATGTTTATTTTATAATTTATTAATCTTTATTTTTTTTTTCACTTAAACTTTATTGCTATCACACACGAGCTAGCTAACAAACCCCTGTGTGATAGCATTTGGAGGTGACAGGTTCTCTTCATTGACCCTGTCCCCTCCAATACAGGAGTTCTAGCTCAGCGCTGTGCTAGAACTCCTGTGACAGCTTGTTCTGCCTGATGAAGGGGATCCTGTATGACCCCGAAACGTTGCAATAAGTGTATTGTTGCATGAAACGTCAATTAAAAGACGTTATTCTACCTTGGAGTGCCGGTGTCCATAAGTTCCTATATACTATTCAGACGGTGGCCATCCGGCGACTACTGATGCACCCAAACTATTACTACGGATTAGCGGTAAGGAGTGCAATGGGTACATGGACTGTAGCTGAGAGGAAGGGCTGCGAGTGCAGCTCTCTCCTCTCACTGTCTACTCGACACGGCGTGCAAGGTAGCCGGCGGGGTGGAGAGGAACATACCTGCCGCTCCTCTGCTCAGATCACACCTGTCAGCGCTCCCTCTCTCTCTCTCTCCTCCTGGCCGCTCTGGAGCTGCAGCGGCCGGCAGGAGAGAGAGGGAGCGCTGACAGGTGTGATCAGAGCCGCCGCCGCGGCCAGTCGCATTTTTCCGCCCTCCCCCGCTGGCGCCGTCAAGCAGTTGCTTGACCTGCCTATATGGTAGCGCCGGGCCTGGGTGCGATGAGGCAACTAAGCCATGGAAAGCAACCAGAAGGTACGCAAAGGGCTTCCTGATCATGTGATCACTGTGATTGGCTCATTGATCTCGTGATCGGGATATTGAACAGGAAGAAAGGAAGGGAAGGAGCGCAATAGACTGGTCTATTTAGCTCCACAAAGTCTGCGCCAGTTAGTGTTGCGCTCCTTCCCTTCCTTGCTTTCCATTCAATATTACACAGTTAGACACCCCGGTCTAATAACACAAGGAGCCGCACAACGGCCACAACAATCCCCCCCCCCTCCCCCCAGGAGTGCGCTAACCAATCAGTCTTCATTTCCCAACTTCCCATCTGAGCCCATCCTACCTTCTACCAACCGTCGCTCTGTGATGGGGAGTGGCCAGTGACAGTCACAGTGCCGGGAATGCGTGCGTTTGTGTGCATTCCCGACACAAAGCAGCAACGTGCATATGTGGCAGCATGCACTAGGCCTCCTTGCTGCCACATATATGCCTAGGGCCACTGGGAAGGGGTTCAGTAATCCCTTTGCTACAGGTTTCATATATAATGAGGGCAGCTGTGAGTGACGAGGAGGTTATCGGAAAAACATGCAAATTAACCCCCTTCTGTCGCTACATCACAGTTCTCCTTACATATATAAGTAACACAAATTCCATGCTCTGTGCTTAACTAAATTAAAATTTTATGTATTAAAAGGACATATAAGATTTTTTTTATTTGTGGCATTACTTTAATTTAAAAAATTGCTGTTTTTTTTTTGTGCTAATAAATGCACACAACTGATTATTTTACTGCTGTAATTGTAGCTGACAATTACAGTTTAAAACACAGAAATACTGCCATCTCCAGGCTACTGTGGTATCTGCAGGTTGAAGTTTTAATTTTGTGAATTAAAATTTCTGAAAACGTGCTTCCTCCCCTCCCGCTCCGGTGCCCTATGATGGCAGAGCTGATTGGTGGCCACAACCCCCTTATAAACAAGTGCCCTCGCGCAGACTAATGCTGAACTAGAAAGGAGGCGTGTCTCACCGGGTCTGTCAGATTACAGATTGCACAAGGCAGCATGGTCAGGCAACTATTAGACTGCACAGCCGTGTTTAAATCACACAGCACGACTGCTATAGGAAAGCATAGGTAACATTCCCTAAGCCAGGGATGTCCAAACTCCGGCCCTCCAGCTGTGGGTGAAACTACAAATCCCATGATGCATCTCTCTCCGGGAGTCATGTCTGTGGCTGTGAGAATCTTGCAATGCCTCATGGGATTCGTAGTTCCACCACAGCTGGGGGGCTGGGGTTTGGACATCGCTGCCCTAAACCCTCCAGGATTTCCTCCTCCATGCTGTGCCTCATGGAGCCTCTGTCCAGACACGTGGTGCCACCTGAAGGCTGACCTATCAACTGCAACACCAGCTTCTGCATGTACGATGTGTGCAGCGAGTCCACCAGTAGTCAGGCAGCAGATGGTTCTTACTCGGACTGGTGTACCCAGCCCGCAGTGTGGGTAAGAGCTCCGCCCATTCTTGGCGCACATGGTGGAGCTCACTTACCAGGAATGAGAAGAACATGGCAGTGGCTGACAGGAAGTGCCAGATATCGTGGTCATCGTAGAAATGCATGAGAGTACACTCCCGATTCTTCTCCCGAGACTGCGCCGGGGTCTCCTGCAAAAACACACAATGCGGCGGATGAATACGGAGCGGTAAAGTGCCGTTTTGTCGATCTGCTGCTTCCATCTTCTCAATTCCACAATCAAGGGCAGAATTCAGACAGACTTGTCCCCTCTGCCCTGTGTGGCGGGCGACCGGGTCTCCTCAACGCCCACTTTTACCTTCCTTTCAGGCACAGCTGGTGTTGGCGCTGCCTCGATCACTAAACATGTGTTACGTCTGCCTTCCATCATCTGCTGCTCAGCATCACCCGCCCACTGTACACTGGAACCATTGTTACCGTGTTTCCCCAAAAATAAGACACTGTCTTATATTTTTTTGGGCTCAAAAAAACACACTAGGTCTTATTTTTGGGGTAGGTCTTTTTTTTTTAAATGTACAACAATCCACACTTATTCATGTAAAAAAATATGGTGGTCAGGGCAATCAGGGGTGCCGTACCTATTGATTCCTCACAGGCGGAGTGCCTTTGGTATCACTCCGCCTGTGACAGGAGCCGGCGCTATAGAGGAGGCGTCGGCTTATGCGGCTCTGCTCCCTCCACTGCCGCCTCGCTTCCTCTAGCGCTGGCTTTGTTGGTACCGCTGATTCTCTCCCGCCTTTCTTCAAGTTCCCCCTTATGACACCACCGGCCCCGGGAATGGTCACAACTAGGTCTAACATGGCAGTGGCTGACAGGAAGTGCCAGATATCGTGGTCATCGTAGAAATGCATGAGAGTACACTCCCGATTCTTCTCCCGAGACTGCGCCGGGGTCTCCTGCAAAAACACACAATGCGGCGGATGAATACGGAGCGGTAAAGTGCCGTTTTGTCGATCTGCTGCTTCCATCTTCTCAATTCCACAATCAAGGGCAGAATTCAGACAGACTTGTCCCCTCTGCCCTGTGTGGCGGGCGACCGGGTCTCCTCAACGCCCACTTTTACCTTCCTTTCAGGCACAGCTGGTGTTGGCGCTGCCTCGATCACTAAACATGTGTTACGTCTGCCTTCCATCATCTGCTGCTCAGCATCACCCGCCCACTGTACACTGGAACCATTGTTACCGTGTTTCCCCAAAAATAAGACACTGTCTTATATTTTTTTGGGCTCAAAAAAACACACTAGGTCTTATTTTTGGGGTAGGTCTTTTTTTTTTAAATGTACAACAATCCACACTTATTCATGTAAAAAAATATGGTGGTCAGGGCAATCAGGGGTGCCGTACCTATTGATTCCTCACAGGCGGAGTGCCTTTGGTATCACTCCGCCTGTGACAGGAGCCGGCGCTATAGAGGAGGCGTCGGCTTATGCGGCTCTGCTCCCTCCACTGCCGCCTCGCTTCCTCTAGCGCTGGCTTTGTTGGTACCGCTGATTCTCTCCCGCCTTTCTTCAAGTTCCCCCTTATGACACCACCGGCCCCGGGAATGGTCACAACTAGGTCTTATTTTCGGGGTAGGTCTTATTTTCGGAGAAACAGGGTACCACCCCAATCCTACCGACTGTAATTGATAATGTCCCAATGCGCCATGGGACATGTAGTTTACTGAGGCTTTGCAAAGATCCCAAGGATGAGGCGATGATGCCGAGAGGTCATACTGAATTTGGGGGAAGTTACCTCCCAACTGCTCAGGGTCTGGAAGAAGAAGTACAAAGCTGCAGCCCAGACTCCGGCGGTGGCAACGATGCAGAAGAGCGGTAACGGGCGGATCCTCTCTGCGCTGCGTAACTGTAAGAGGAAAAAAAAGGAAGTGGGTGCGATGTATTACTCGGTATGGACAGCATTACACCTCTGACAGTCTCCTGTGACTCGTTGACACTAGAGGCCCCCGGGCATGAAAGGGCCATTCAGTGTATTCTATGGCTGTGCTTACAGTAATATGCAATAGTCTGTGATTGGCGGACACCGCTGCCCCTCCCTCTCCAAGTCTGAGCGCTGCCTTC